TATATATATTATAATAATAATAGTATATATATATTATATTATATATATATATATATATATATATATATATATATATATATGTGATTGTTGGAAATAATTACGAAATTCAGATGTAAAGAAAGACTTTATTCTCACGTGAATGTTGACTCACGTTCAAAAAGGTCAACTAATTGGGAAAAATATGCCATTTACGCATGGAAAAATGGGAATTGGATAGTAGATATGTGTTTTATGATGAACTTCAAGTTCAACATTATTCTATATTTTATTCGTGCGAATTTCATGATTTATACGAAACCATGATTTCTCTGTTTTGATTCTAAGCATGGTGCATCCAGTTAATGACGTAGAAATAACAAGTGACAGTCATGGCTTCCAAGCGCAATTTTTGTCCACATAAAAAAATAGAATATTTTTATAAATTAACATGTGTGTTAAAAACACATATGTAAAAAGATATTAATCTATTTTTGAAGTTTTCAAAGTCCCACTTCACTTTGTCTTTGCGCATCTCTTTTTTTTTACAAGAGATGTACAAATGTAGACATAAAGTTAACGAATGGAAAAGAGGTGCGCCAAAGACCGCAGCGCGTGCTATGCTACTTTACGTGCTAATTAGATCTTTAAAAATTTCGAGGAAAAATCAATTCCATAAATTCCTCAAGAACATTATAATCAATTCCCACCTTTTTATGCTCATTCTGAGTTCACACAGAATATATCAAATAACTTGTGTAAATATTACAAATAATTAATTATGTATAGAAAAGAAGAAAGTTTGATTCAAATGTAAAAGAATCGTAATATATCGAGAATTGCACTTGTTAAAAATAAGTCGAAATGTTCCAAACTGTGAAACAATATATCACGAACGAGAAATGGAGTCAATGCTTGTTTGAAGGTCAATGATTAATTATTCTATGGCCTATATTGTATTATTAATTAAAATATGACGTATGGATTGTAAAAATACATTGAAGTTATTTGAAAAAAAGTTGATAACAGCAACGGTAAAAATAAATGCCATTTTATCTCTGACCCTTTACACGATAATTTCTTTTAGTTGACATGATGAAAAATCCTTTAAGATACACATTATGTTATATTATCGATAATATAATTTGTATACAATCCAATTTTATTTTTATGTGGAAACACACATAAAAATTACTTTTCACACACATACATCTTTGTATTATTTAAATAAAATTATTTTAAAAATATTTTCTGAGTTATACAGAACAGTATGAATTATAGTGAATATTAAGTTCTTCTTCATTATTTACAGCGTTAAGAAATCTTTGACCATATTTTTTAAATTTACACATCCTGATTTTTCATTTTTAAATTTTTATGCGAACGCTTCTCTATTCCAATTTTAGAATATTAGATTTTTTCGTGCTGTGCGATTTGTGAATAATTCAAGTTGCTTTTAGACGATCAAGATTAGTTGCTGTCGAAATATCGCTTACGGAACGCTTTTTAGAATACGAAGTGAAATCTGCAATTCGGGCCGACTATCAGTTTTACAGATTCGCAGCTGTAAATTCTCGGTCTGACCACGAAAGGGAAATAAGTAGCTCTCCATTATACGATAGCTAAGAAAGACAAACGTACGGATTATCCCGTTATCTTTCCTCTGCCCGTGATTCTGCCCGCATCAGTGACGTCTTTTGTCACAAGATTTGTGACTTATTTGTTTCTTATCGTCGCATTTACATTGTAAACGCGTCATTGAAAGATACACCGAATTTTTAAGAGATTCCAAAACAATAGAGACGGGAAACATTTTTCAGACGAGATGATCCTAAAGGAACGAACATGTAAATTCAGTCCGGACGACCAAAGAATGAGAGGATAGATCGCTAAGAATGTTGGCACATAAGAATTTCAAGAAGTACCTTGAAATTCCTCTTCCTACTACCTTGGATTTTCATCCCTAAGATTTTTAATATTTTTGAAAGATTTTAACTGCCTTAGAACCAAAGAGTTCGTCCTTCCTGACATTTTGGCCTCTCGAGGCTTTTAATTTTTCTTCTTTTCTCCGGACGTCACGTCGTAAAATTCGCTCCGTTTCCGTACAAAACTGCGTTTCTCACGTTTCAAATTTTGATTAAAAAAATTGGATCTCTTGTCGACATTGCGCGCATCGACATGTCGACCGCTACATAACGCAATTAATACGCGGACTGAACGTGACGTCTATCAATTATTATCTGGGGATGACAATTAATACCCAGAAATTTCGGTCATAGCGGGGATAGATTATTAACAGATGATATAGTTATATCGCAATGACAAGCATGACGAATTTGGCAATATTGGTTTCACACTACAGGAAACACATTGATAGATCGGTCGATTTCAATAGAACACCTTTTAAAAACTTGATAAGATACAAACTATGCGCAAACACAAACTTCCATTAATAAATCTGCCACCCGAAACGGAATTTTTCAGTGTAAATTTTACCTTCGTCACGCTTCAATAATAATAACGTGTAAATTTAATTTAGAACATTTTACATACTGATATTCCATTTTACATTTAAATTTCTCATTTTTGGTTAAAATAGAATTTAATTGAAACGCAAAATAAAATGTTTCTAGTGCAATGTTAATAACGCCATTACTTGTGATCATTATGATTATTTGCGATGTTCTATAAATTTTATGCTCTCATTATTAATATTACGAAATTAATGCGAATTTTAGCTACTAAATTAATATAATTTATATAATACGATTTGTCAATATAGATTAATGTGTATATATACATGTATACATCGTTTATTCTAAATTATTCTAAATTAATATAATTTTGAAACCAGATGGAAGAGAGAGGAAACATTTACACGTTACATAATTCTTATTTATTGCTTTATTCATTATTTGTAAGCAAAAAGTATAAATATTTTAAAAATCAGTATAGAGAAAAATCAGCAAGTAGCTTGGTATTCTACGACTCAAGCGTAATCCGATAAATCGATACGCCATTTAAAAGGGTGCAAAAAAAGTCGCTTCTCGCATAGAAGTAGCTTATGTGCAGTCTGGAAGCCCCTTTCGGAAGAAGGCGAGTCAGAATTCTCATGTTTGCGCGGCCCATTCAGCCGCGGTATCACGGCGGAAGGTACTCGCTGCTCCTCGACTTCAAAGGGTCGCATTGCGATATCGCGCCGGCTTCACGGATTCCGCCGATCCGCCGGAATTACTACGTTCGCGCGTCGGCGACGATCATAGTAGCTCTCGCACGCGTATCAGCATCCAGACCCCCCCCCCCCGGCCAAAGCCGGGATGTGAAAGCACCCCTTTACCTCATCGACAAGTACCAGCGATCCGCTCGTAACGCGCCATCCCCCTTCCCCCTCGCCTCTCCCCCCCCCTACCCTCACGGAGGAAAATCCGTGGAAATTCCTGCTCGCGCGCGCGTGAACGTTTGCGACGAAGTTTATCGCCGTCGCCGTTCTCGGAAGTGGAATGATAATCAAATCACGCCGGAACTAACCGGAACTCGTGCCGGTAGAACGATGCGGAACGTGTGCGGCCGTTTCCACAAACTCCGGAGTAATATGCAGAGTTGTTGACATCCCGCGCCGAGATAGGGGTTACTTTGAGAGAGGCGAGAGCACGTTTTGCAAAATGACGCACGCTTAATCCTTGATATCGCGGAATATCGCCGGTCTCGCAATTATTCCTCTTTTCATCTGTATTCGAAATACGTCCACGGGGAAGATTCATAAAGGGAAAGCTCTTTTTGCGAAATTATTCATCTCTAATACATGGAATTAAGAATCTACCTCACAATTCTCTTCTTTCTCCCTTTTAAATCTATATAAGCGAAATAAAGATAAATGATAAGGACATGTGCAGAGCTGCGAAGTATATAATCTTCTAGATCTCAGCAAAATCTATTTTATAAGGTTTTTTTCAATTTTTCACTCTTCTCGGATGCTTATTTATTCATATCAATTGGAAATTTCAAAACCCTGAAACTTTATACTGGGATTACAATATATTGAAATTCTGTTTTGCGTTATGTTTTATTATAATTAAATATAATTAATACTAAATGCAATTAATTAATTAAAATAAAATAACAAAATTGACAAATTGACAAAAATTAAAATAAGTAATAAAAAAAATTTTTTGCAGCAAGCAATTTACAAAATTGCCCTCAATAAATTTGACTGAATAATTGCACTAATTAAAAAGATCGTTTTAATAATAGTATAAGACCATGACACACCTTATTCCATAGTAGATGTTCGCGTTAATTGAGTTAATTAAAATCAAAATCGATTTGAGGACTAAGTTTAGGACTCGGGACTCGACGTGAACCCATCGAAACTTTGCCCCGCCGTGAGCTGTAAGCCTATATCCGACCGACATTCTCGAGTCAAATGCCATAATCCATCTTCCTACCGTCATAGCAGTAGCAGTAAGGCTACATTCGTCAACGCTGCCATTTTGCACGTGGCAAAGGGCTAATCAAATGACTCTGATCGATCGAGTCAAATCGAGAGCGGACGCCACTCCGGCACGCCGGTAGCGCATAAACGAAGGGCTCGCGGAAGTTTCGAGAGGCCCTTCCTCCGGGCCGAACACTCGATAATTCAACGAGCGAGCGATATTCGTATTCTTACGTGAAAATCAATACGGAACTACGGCGGACTTTCATTATTGTCGTTGTCGTCGTCCTCGTTGCCCCGTGATCCCGACGTTCTGCAGGGGCACGTCTATCTGCGTCTTCCTTTTTTATCAGAAGAAGAGAGCAATTGAGACAGAATTGGACACATCCGTTGTACGGACGTAGTCCGTAAAACACCGTTCGCAGGGGGTGGGCAGAAGCCAGCCGATGTAACTTCGCCGGAAGTACGGGGAGATTGTACCTCCTTTCTCCCTCGCCGTTGGCCTCCTCCTCGAAGTTTCCTCGCGCCTTCGCTTCCTTTTTCCTCCTCCGCCCTGGCAAACGATCAAGTCGTTGAGCTACGGGAATCCTTTATTGAAGATATCTAATTGAGATGGAGACCGCAAGGCGGAGAATGGCAAGATTGGTAAATGGGGAAAGTAACGGGAGTGTCGGATTGTCGCGCGTCTCGAATTACCGTGCCGTATTAGTATGTATGAAGTACGAAGACGTAGCTCCTCGCATCAATCCGCATTGCCCGAGGAAACCTCCGCTGCAAGTTTCATTAAGCTTCCGGCGTAGGTAGATCCGTCTAGATCCCTTAATCTACGTCTTTTGCGCGAAATTGTTCGATTGAAGAGGAACATCTTTATTAACGCGACTCTCTTCCTGTACACTTAATTTAACGAATCGAGGATAGATTTAATCATGATCTTCTTTTCGTCAAAAAACGAGCAGAGGATTAACCCGAGATCCCTAGAATTCTCATAACGAGCTGTTAGCTTAATAAGCTGGATTTCGGAGTAGCTTTGAAAGGATTAAAAAACTGTTTTCCCACAAATATCATTATGAATAGAAAGAGAGACAGACGGGAAGAGAGAGAAAGAGAAAGTTAAAAATCGGTTTTTATAAAAAAATAAATATTCTTAATTATAACATTATTTTATTATTTTGTAAATAAGCATAAATCCAACATTATATGTAAGGTAATTATGGTTTTAATAATTATAAAATATTTTCATACTTACCTCTCTTCACGATTAGTTTGTTATGTTCAAAGTGTAAGATTTTTATTGTGCAAAATGCAAAATGCGTTCTTTAGATTTGAATTTTATTCATTTTGTCTTTATTAATTAATTAATCGGATAATTATATATGTCATTATTTACAATACAACGCGTTGACTTAAACTACGCGTACAATAAGCTACACGGCTAACGATGGTAATTATTAAAGTAATATTCACATCGAGCAATTTACACGCACATGAATTATTTCTGCGTATCATTTATATAAATTGGTATGAACTATGGATATTTATAAAAATTTAATAAAGAACTTTGATATGTACAAAATAGATAATAAGTAACATACAATAAATAACATACAAATAGAATATTAATATTTAATAAAAATTTAAGGAACTTGATGAGCAAACATTGAAGAAACCTAAGAATTAAAGCTTAAAAACTTAAAAAGCAAACAGCTCATTTAAAATTTTACGATCAGTCGAGTCGAGCGTTTGAAAATTTTAAAATACATGGCTCAGATAAATTAAGTAACGTTTTTTACGATTGAGAGTTTCAAGAATATAATAATTAAAATTTTGCAAATTTATTAAACAAATTATTATCAATATCCGCATACATCAAAATAAAATCGTAACTAAGTAAAATCGTTACTTAAAAAAAGATAGCATAAAAAATCATTTCCTTTAACTCTTTCAAGCCCAAATTATTTTTATATACCATAGATTTGCTCCTTTAAATTTATACTTATATCTATATTTTATAATTATAATTTGATTGTAATATAATACAATAGTGTGTATCTCTGACAAATATAATACAATTTATTATATCATCATGCGACGTTGGTTTAATGCACATTTCATATTATTTTACATTAAGTAATTATATTATAATTACATAACATAATATATTATATTACTTACACATTTATATGCATATATATATAACACGATTTCTTAGGAAATTATTTAAAATAATAATAAAATCATATAATTTTAATGATACCGCGTGCGGCGGTATCAGGGAACTGGAAAGAGTTAATGAGCCTTATCCCTTTACTCGCTTTTACATTAATACATAATTACAGGTGCAGGCTATCCGTGATCCGTGAACACGCTGACGAAGCACATTTTGATCTTGGAAAGCCCGTAGCCCGAGATCGATTTGCTGCTGGAAAGGGTGAATTATTCCCTAAGGGTTAATGAACGGTTCATTAATGACGCACTAGAACGCGATCGGTCTCGCTCGAAAATGCCAACCAACGTGATTAATCTAATGGATTAATTTTTCCGTTATTTCACTTGATACACCGAAATATGAAAAAATCGATATGTATGCCACGACTCTCTCATTAACATGCAAAACGATGATTATTCATGATGACTAAACAGATGCTTAATTAACTTTCATTCAGACTAATCATTATTTTAGCAATCATTTCCAACGATCCTCAGGACATTCTTCAACGTTGAAAATTTCCAAAATTCGCCGTTGGAATTATCATACTCTCGACAATCGAGGGATTGCTCAATCGATCTTATTAATTCAAAAAACTTCTTTCAACTGTCGGTTTAAATTATTCATGGTATAAATTTACGAGTAAACTCTAGGTTTAAAAATTTTTTTTGCATCAGAATCAATATTATCAATAATGGACAAGATTTCTTCATGAATTTTATCTGATAGAATTCCGTATTAACTATTGGGGGAAACGTCGAGTTTCGCGCAAATCTGTGATTGATAGTCCTAATCCTCGAAGACGAAGACGGTAAATAAATATTTCACAATGCAATGAAATCGTCAATTACAGAAAAGCCGGAAAACCGTTTTAGTCCAGTTTTAATTTTCGCTTAAAAGATAACGTTACACGGTAACTTCCTCGGAAAACCTGCTCTTGTCGTCGAGGTTGATGACTATGGCGTGTGTCCTAGCGTGACCGGATTTACTCCTGGATTTGTCCTTCAAATCTGCTTCCTTGCCATCCTTCCCGTGACATACTTCCCTGCTGATGTCCTCGACGGCGTGTTTCGAGGATGTTGACACGGCCTTGTCTTTGCCGATTTTCCTCGACTCCGTCGTTTCATTATCCTTCGATGGATCCCGTATATCCTTTCCGCCGAGCCCATTTTTCTCAATACACGCACGACATCGATTTTCGCCCTGAGAGCTGTTTCCTAAACAGAGATAGAATTATCTGCCCGTACGGCTTTACACAGGATACAGCGCAAAATTAATACATCATCCTAAACGGCTACGAAGAGAAAGAGTGAATAAATAAAGCTCTCGTTTGGTCTTCCGGTTTCCGCAGTAAATTCCATTCAACGGCGTAATTTTCGGGCAGTTTGTTTTATAATGTCGTCCATTTTCCTTTCTCCGACCTTCCGATGCATCGGGAACAGTTTCCCCGTTAGAGTGTTCTTGCCCTCTAATTTCCCACTTTAAATATAAATGAAATATGCGGGCCATATATATTGCTTTTGTCAGAATTTCTACTTTTTCTAATTTCATTCTTCGCCACCAGTTACGATCGTTCCTAAATCCTGTCGTTTTTAAACCGCAAAAAATTCCTCCGATTTTATTTTCGACCGCTAGCTCAGAGCACCGAATGTCTACGTATAAAATAAAATGTTTTTCTTCAGTTTATTTACGGAACTTTTATTGTAAATTTTATTTTTAATCGTGAACTAATCTTGTGAAAAACGATTACGATATATCTCACAGCCCCGCTGGGCTTCTCTCGAAAAATTCAGCACATGTTTTTTTCACTTTCACATGTTTTTTCAAATTTATTTCCTACCTGCGCGGGTCTGCTCCTGGCAAGCTTGTCCAAGATTAGTTTCCTTCGTCGACTTATTGAGATCGTTCAACTGAACGATGCTAGTTGAAATGGCCTGAATGGACACTTGAGCCTCGACTCGATTTGAAGCGTCCAGCATGGCTGCGAGCTTGCTGGATAACTCCTGATTTCCTAATAATATGTTTTTCTCTTTCAGTACTTCTAACTGGTTGAGCAAGCGGCGGAATTCCTCCTGGAAAAAGGAAATATCTCCTCGTCTTATTTATAATTAAAAATTCTGATATTAAAGTTTTTAATTAAAAGTTAAAATTTTACGAAAACAAAGATCTCAAAGGCGTCGATGATTCGAACGTTTCAAAGATTCCGATCTTTCAGAATTCCGCGATTCTAAGGCTGGAATATTCTAGAGATTTTAGGATAGCAAAACTTGAAACGCTTTGGACGCTCTGAGTTTTACGAAGTTTACAGTTTGAAGGACTAGGATTCTAAAACTTCACGTCCGAAACTTCGAGGCTTTGTGATTCGAAGATTAGGATTACATTTCCGAGCGGCAGAATCAAAATTCGCTGAGAATCTAGATTTATCCGATTGATACTTAGGTAAGAGGAAGCTCACAGCTTTCGGATCTTCCGGCGCGAGGCGCTCCGATGAAGAGGCGCTCCGGAGGATCCGGTGATTCCGGTTTACCCGGGGTGCTTACCGTGACAGAGTCGCTTTCTTCGGCGAAATTACCCTGTTGAAACGATATCGAGTTGGTCTGGTTGCTGGTGCCCTGCGGACGACTACTTTTCCCCAGGAACTTGCCGGTCGCACCGCAAAGTTTGCCGATCGTCTCCTCCTTCCCCCCGTCGCGGAACACCACGTAAGCCTTCGTTAAATGCGACGTATGTAACAACCAAACTTACACAGCACCGGGATTTCTATTCAAGCTAGTAGAAGGACTTTGCAATAATCTTGCGCGAGAAAGAGAGAGAGAGAGAAAGAGAGAGAGAGAAGAGAGAGAGAGAGAGAGAGAGAAGAGAGAGAGAGAGAGAGGAAAGCAAATAGAAAACGAAACGGAAATTGCGCGATTTAATCTCATTCGTGCCGATTGAATTTTAGCTTTATACGATACCGCAACTTCTATTTTGCTTTTTCCAATAAATCTCGAATAAAAAGAAAAATAATTTATTTATAGATAAAATATGTTTAATAGAATGCTATCCCATTTTTATTTGCTTAAATGAAATTTATTCTCCTTGTAAAAATTCTATTCTAAAAATTGCGTTAATTAAAAGCTATTTTTAGCTTTTTAGTTTTTAATATCTGATATTTCGAAAAAATTGGAATTTCTGCAAATTTTTCGAAAAGAGGGAAAAAACAATTGGAAATTTGCTAAAATATCTGCCGTTAAAATAAATTGTAAATACATTTAAAACATTTTGCCGGTAATAAATGTACAACCATTATACTCGAATCGATTTATCGGAAGGCCAATAGGAGATAGTAAAATTTGAATTTTACGAGAGTTTTGAAACGAAGTGATCGATACATCGAGGTAACGATACGCGTCACGCCGTAAAACATAACGATTGTCATGCAGTAAAACCTGTAATAAATAATATTTCTTACTTTACTGCCGAATATCAGGCAGAGCAGCAATGTGACGGTAAGCTGGGTATGGCAGAAAAATATGATGTACAATAAATCCGGATTGGCCGGCGATTGCAGGAACAACCTGCAGCAACGGGAAAGAAATTATTCAGAGCTGTTAGCCGCACGAAGCGCTATCGTGACGTAAGAACGGGCCGCTATACCGTGAGTGTGAGTGTCCTAGATCTTCCGCTATTTTTATGTGTTTCTCCATATCCCGCCAATTTAAATCGTATCTTTAAATCGAGATGTCACAATGACGAGGTTTGTCCCCGAGGTTTTTCCCCGAACGTTGAAAGAACCCCATCAAACCATTTCCTCCTCCCACGTAAGTGTACTAATTTTCCTATTTATGACTTGAATACAATGAATGAACCACTGTGTAATATAACGTAATTGATATACATATAGGCGTGCTGGTCGAGCCTTGACTGCATATTCACAGTTGGTTCAACTTCGATCAAATCAATCTTGTGCTATTGCTGTTTTGAGCGTTTGTCACGTTGATCACGTTTTGTAATCTCGTTACGTCTGCGATCCAGCAAACTACTCGAATAGCGGTATCAAATTTTGTGCGAAGCAAACAAAATCTGCCACCGAGATATTTTCATCTTTCATCAAAGTTTATAGAGATAAGCTTATCATTGAAGCGTTATCACTACGGAAAATATAAAAAAAAAAAAACTGTAATCGATGAGATAAGCGCACTTACATCGGAAGTGACTTCCAGTATTCTCAGTATAGTTACGATCAATAGAAAAAACGTTGGAACTGTGTAACTTTCCAAGGGTCGCACTTTGAAGGAAATAACTTGTAATTTCAGGTGAGTCCGATGTACATTTAAATAAAAAAGTACTTTTAATAGAATTACTTTTGGGACAAATCTCGTTGATTGCGTCAATTTTTAATAACACTTGCATGCAAACACTTCGCACAGAATTGAACGGAAAATTTGACAGAGAAAAGGCTATTGAATTCGTTAACGGAAGCAAAACTCGCGCGTCACAATTGCGACATGAAATTTTGAATGTTAAAGATTGAAACAAATCGCGATATCAAATTCCGTTAGAGAAAGGTCGATTAAAAATTCGTCAAAGAACCCGTCATTAAATTCCAGTTAATGTGAGACACGTTGGGAAAAAAGAAAAAAAAAAACATTAACGCAGAATTTACACTTAAAATAAGGATCGCTTTCAATGCACTTTCATTATGCATTCTACGGTTAAATTGTTGAAATATAAAATTCCGAGGAATTCAATTATATTCAAATATAAAAGAAAAATCATTCCATTTCTGCATCGCCGAGCGGTAAACTGGCGATTAAGAAAAAATTGTTCGGATATATAACGTTTGATGGGGTTCTTTCAACATTCGGGGAAAAACGATTTCGCGAATAATCTCGCGTTACGAATAATCACGAGCGCGAATGAAGCCTCGCGAGTGCTTCCCGGACGAGGGCCGTAATCGGTCATTCCGAATAATGAACGGATGGAAAAAAGGGATGGCTCTTGTAGCGCGAACTTACATTGAAACGTTGAGGAAGACTGATAGTAGAAATTCGTTGTAAATCGCCATTGAAATGAATCGACTCTCATTAAACTCCGATGGAGTCTTTCTTACTACGATGCACAACCGGATGCCCCACACGAGGAACATCACCTCGACTGAAATCACCAGTGAAAAGTCCAAGTCACATTAGTCACAATAAGAAGCTTAATGTTTTTCGTCCCGGAAAAGGCCCACAGAGCCGTAGCTGGAATTATTCGTGCGGCCGAAATATTTTCCATTTCCGCTCTCGATTCGCGTAAGTCGAAGCGAACGCCAATTCTCGCATGCCACGTCCCAGTTTACGACTCTGTAAACCTGTAGAGAGGGATCGATGGGATTGGTCCGAGCAATTACGTATTCTCCGAGTCGAAGAATCTCCTCGGTGAATTGTCAGAGGGATAACGCGCAATGTCGGATAACTTTACACTATTTGATGGGTTATCCGCGATTAAACTCGCGACATGTAAAATTCCGGCATTTATGGAATTACGGGTTGCCTTCCTCGAAGCCGTGTAAAAATACGAGGTACACGGCGAGGGTATTTGCGTGAGATCTTACGGATTACCGTTTCTTCGTAGGTCATTATAGGTAAAGTAATGCCTCTTGCGTTGCTCTCTGACGACAGATGAATGCAAATTAGGTATAATGCGGGGTTTCCCTCGCAGTACATACTACACACACACACACACACACACACACACACACACACACACACACACACACACACACACACACACACACACACACACACACACACACACACACACTACACACACTATCCATCTTGATTTAAAATCGCGTTTGACTATCTGCAATATTACTAAATCAATACTGTGCTCACATGTGCATCGGCCCTCCGATATTACATATTATATACGTGTATATATATCGTATATCCCTAATCCTTCATAATGCCGTATTAACTGTGCGTACATGCATGCAACGGTCGCTAAATGCCTCTAATTTAATATAAATTAATTTGATATACCGCCAAGAGCAATTTTCCGGCGGGCGGGAAGCGTCATGATAGAGACTCGGTAAATATTTTACAATGTAGACAGAGGCACACGTAAACTGACAGCGGGGATGGGTAATGCGGACTAATGCGGCCTGCCACGTATAATGCGGGAACTTATGGATATGGCGAAGCCCGTCGAGATACTCCGTCAGACGGATGCCCACTTTCACGCCTCATTTACACGGTACGTCCCGGAGGTGCTTCGCGCACTTTTTGTCCCCCCCCCTTCCCTCCCCCCTCCCCCTCCCTCCACGGCTAAACAAGATTCCTAGGCGAAAATTCGGGAGGGGACGGGATTCTCGACTTATTTATTTTCGAGCATCATCCATCCTCATAGCTCTCACCTCTCGCGAACTTTCTATATTAAATATTTCAGTAAATAAGCTTGAGTGAGCGCGCGCGAGCGAGCGCGAGCTGAAGGCGCTTGAGGTGAAAAGCGAGCCCCGGAGTTTAATTCATCAGAAACTCTCTAACTTTCGATCGCATTCTTACGTGCGCGCGAGGGATCGATCATTCCATAAAAGGAAAGTTAATCCAATGCCGCCTACTTCCTACGGACGGTATACCCGGGCTAGCTCCCGCCGTTCATATTTCACCGGGGCTTCACGATACAGTTTGCAGATTACGAAAATCTGCGGGAAATCGAGGCACGGCGAAGGGATTAAGCGAGGCGATATCTCTTTTTCCGCAACAAAAATGTAGCGATGCGCCCTGTCACTCACGAGTAGTGAAGCTGTGGTCCCACCAATCAGTCCGGCAGAGATACGCTTTGAGATCGTCGGCGGTCCGCGCGACGATCACGACGGGCGGCGCGACCAGGGTCCTTATGCTCAGGAACACGCTGAACGTCAGGACGATGATGCCGAGCCGCTTCAGCAGGCTCGCGTCCGTTATTTTCACCGCCTTCGCCGATTTCACGCGGAAGATGACGGATATCCTGCGGGAACAACATCACGAATTCGTTTTTCATTTTGATTCTCGTAACGGGGATAAATCCGCGGATTTGTTTTAAATATTGATTTTTAAAGTGGAATTTTAAAGTGGAATTTTGTAAATCTATTGATATTCCGTAGGCACAACACCCCTGATATCGATGGCATTGTTATATTTTTTGCAACGATAACAATCGAGTATAAATATTGCATGAATCATATATCATGTAAAAGCTATGTGTGAAGGGATCTCTTAAAAATTATGAGAAGATATATAAATTAATCATTTTTTCAAGAAATTTTCATATTTCGGTAGTTTAGTTAAACGCATCATAAAATAATCAAAATGTATATTGAAAAACACATTTACGCTAAGAAAAATCTTTTGTTCCGCGAACTAAAATTTTGCTGAAACAATACGGTAATTTGATTAAAATTGGATTTTGTAGTTTTGTCCGATAAATGTATCGAAAACTATTTAGTTACCATAAACTATTATCTTTTATAGTACAAACAAATATTATTTGTTATTTAGATTTTGTTCCTATTACTATAATGCTTTGCTGTAATGATTTATTACAGCAATCAAAGGATGTTAACAAAATCAATTTTTTTTTCGTTTTTTTCTTTATACAGCGAGAGTTTTTCAGTTATCACATGCACCCAATCATTTATCAGATTCATATTTATGAAAATAACAGCTTTATTATGTACAAAATTTTATATATTGAACTAATGACTATGTGAAGTAATAAATATGTTATATTTCTACAATATTTATCACATAAAAAATCTGTATGACTAAGCATAAATTGTCGCGTTATGACGAACCAAGAGAAAGCGGAAGTCGTATACTGCTTACTTCTATTTAAATTATATTACATTTAATATAATTATATTATAGTTTCATTATATCTTTTTCCGTTATATAAACGTTATATTTTATTTCATAAAAAAACAAAATTATACTTATTATCTTAATTTATATGAAATAAAATTTTATTATTATGCACAAGGAAGTAAATTGAAAAAAATACATGCTTCACACATAAGGAACAAAATCGTTCACAGAATAAAGCGGAAGAATATATTTTGCAGAAGCAACTAAATTTTCCATTATATAGAACAAAATATTTAATTGCTGCTCCTAACTAAACAGTTCTTCCAAAGAACACTAAGTTCCTTTTCCTGGTGCACAAAAGCATTTATTAGAAATCCTTTAGAATATCCGTTGAAAAAAAAAGAAAAGAAAAGAAAAGAAAAGAAAAGAAAACGACAAAAGTGTACTCGACGGTAGAGATTCGACGAATGAGTAGGACGGCTTTTTGCTTGCAAAGGCGAAAAACGTATAAAAAAGATATTCGCAAAATGGGCAAAATGTTGCGATGTAACGTAAAAATCGAACGATGAAGCACACTTACCGCCAGGTTTTGAGCATGAGTGCCCCGTATGTGAGAGAAAAGCCAATTTCTCGTAGCCATACGCGCACGGTGCATGTGATGATGTTTGGCCTGGGGTACATAACTATGGTCTGCAACAAACGAACGCAAATATATATTCTGCAAAACGATGCTGCCCCGACGAGCAAATTCCGACGTGTGTCGTGACGTTGCCGCACATCTGCGCCGCACACGCCCGCCCAGGTGTTCATCCCATTTCTGTTAATCATAATAAATTTTAACGACGTCATTTCGACAAATTGCCTCATTATAGCATTGCCGGTATTCTCGGAATACGTAATTACATAATTAGAATATAGTATTTAAAGCACTTTCGATACACGCTTTTGGAGCCGCGATGAGAACGAGTCATTGATTTCCCTTTGGCTCGGTCGTATGCGCGCGTATTATTTATATACGCGGCTAGGGAGTACGCGAACATGTATTCCTAATGACAAAATTTATCATTAACTAATATCTAAATAATTTATTATTAACACAGTAAATATACGAAAATGATATATTATGATGTATCGCGATTGATGTTATTACGATAGAGAGATAACGCATAAATGTAGTTGTAGTTTAGAACGTTAATGCATATTTAACGGGCATTTCAAAAATGTCTATTTCGTCGCTCGAATTTTTCAATCTCAATTCGCGCTATTTTCATTCTCCGAGAATAAAAAATACAGAAGAGATATAAAAAAAAAAAAATAATAATCTTTTCTTTGTGACTAAAATTATTTCAAGATATTTGATGGAAAAATCTGTCATTTTCAATATCATAATCGTAAAAATAATATCTGAATAATGTTGATAAGTTCGCTATGAAAAGATACGGCAAAAGAATACAGAGGAAAAAAAAGAAGACCAATATTTTTGCTGAACGAGCACTTCGAAGCGATTTTTCTTTTGTGTTGTAACACGACTGTCTGGCATCGCATAAATTTCGACTCCGGCATGAATTCATAGACAAGTTAGAATTCACGGAAACTTTAATGATTTTCGCAGAAAAATAGCGCAAAAATTGAGTAAGGTAAAATTTTACCGAAATATAAGAAATAAATTTATTAACGATAACAGAGCGTGTGCGCAATTTAAATAAATGTGCATTCTCTCATTAGATATATTCGCGTTTATTAAAACCGTGATTACGCATAATAAAAATTAAAAAAAAAAAAAGTGTACGCGTAATGAAAAATATAATAAATTCTCGTCTTCTGGAACAATTGCGCCGTAATTTCTCCTTTTTTTTTCGCTCGAAAATAAAGCTCGAACTCCCGGAAATATTGCAAACTTGCGAAACAGTTCTGTCTTAATAAGACGAGCTCATTCGAGGGTGGGAACAAGGAGAAATTACGGGCGGTTCGCACGCACCACAAAATTCGATGGTGGCTTCGCCGACTTTTCCGGGGTGTATCGCGCCGATTTACACCGGCGGCTCTCGCTCGGTGAGATATAATACTGAAGTTTAGTGAGAAACGGAAGGCAATATCCCCCATAAGCGAGCAAATGACGTCCCATTAAGAATAGTACTTCGAGTTTAAGGGGAAGCCATCCGGGGAGTTCGTACCTCGTAAGAGCAAACATTACGTAGGCACGTTTCCACCCTACGAGCTTTCCAACTTGGAGCACTCGAAATGTCTGCTGCACCTTGATACTAACCCCTTCACGGCCGCGCCATTACTCCGCCGAGAGAAAAATCACATCGCCATTCTGACAGAAAGGGTCACGTTGCCAACGCTTACATACGGCGTCCGTGGCGAGAGTCGCGAAGATTTGTGTGACCGTCTAGGTGCGCGTTTCAATATTTCATATGTTTTTATATATATATATATATAAAAACAGGATATTTTTGGAAGGGACGTTAGCGTTATATTTTATATGAGAATTCGCAATTTCGCCCTTTCCGGACAGACTGTGCCAACATTTGGTTTAATTTTTGTTTATCCGACTGTCAGGCGGGACTGGGAAATTCGCTGGAAACGGACTTGTTGTCACTTGAGTTAAACTTCCGTAGTAAATCCTACAATCCTACGTTTGAGACGTATACTGTATACAACTTTGTTGTAAGTGAGTGTCACATAACTACTTTCTTGCACAAACACCTCTCGCAAACACCGAATGCCTGCGCTAGTTCCTATTTAATTACTGCAGTTTAAAGTTTATCATTTAACTGTTTTGTGCAACCGGATGATACTGTTGCGTATAAATGTGTTGTAAACTAGCCCACATCTTGGTGGTGGTTGACTAAAATAAATTATTGACTGATAAATTATTGATTTATGCGTTTATAAATTTATGCAATTATATATATAATAATAATGTAAAATAATAATATAACGATGACTTGAAACGCACCTGGAAATAATGTCGATTATATTTTCCCGGGCTTTAGAAAGTCCTTGCAAAAATATTAAATTGAAAATTACATCTCTGCAAGAAGTTTTTTTTAATCACGAGAAAAAGAAATCTGAGACGAGTCGCGGTGGATGTAAAAAAACTCATTTACTTCAATGTACGCTGTAAGGAACGAATTTCGACGTGATTTTTCTACTTTCGAAATAATATGATTGCATGCTCTAATACGGCACAATACGACGACTATTTTAATTCCTTGCTTCGAGGTGTTTCGAGTAATGACGTAAGCCGTTTCGTAAGGTGAGCGATAAGATGGATTATCAATCTAAATCAAATATTTAATTGAGAATTTCAACTTCTCGCGGCGTTCCTCAAACATCACAATTTCAGATCGTTCCGTCGAGGACGAACGGAGGAGATCGTGCATACATGAGAGATTCCTGGAGTTTACGTTTATACAAATGACTTCTCGTCGACGGGATCCGTTCTGGGATTCGATAAAGCAGGTTTGCGAAATGTGATAGAAATCCTGCTATCAACCCGATATATCACGTAAGAACGTGCGCGGAATACGTATCATGGCAGCTGTCACTAGGGGTCAAAGCCCAGAACAACTCGGAATACGACGTCGAGAATTATTTTACGTCGCTATGTGATCTATGCGCTGTTGACGCAACGGGGAGGGGGGGGGAGACCGGAGGGAGAGAGGGAACAACTTTGACGACGCCGGCATAAGCCGGATGCTTCATCTGGTAATAATTCCCGTATAATAAGTGTAATAACGAATAATAACGAGCATCTTCCTCTCGCTCCACCAACATTGGCACTCGGAGCGCGCGTCGCATCCTGCAATCGTGCGAGAGCCTCTCTCTCTCTCTCTCTCTCTCTCTCTCTCTCTCTCTCTCTCTCTCGTTCGAGAGAGAGAGAGAGAGAGAGAGAGAAATCTGATTAATGGCTTAATTACAAAGATCTCCAATTTAACGCAGTTAAAATAACTGCTTCATAACTCGGGAGAGATGCTTCGGAAGTTACAGAGATCGGTAATTACCGCCGAGATAGAGAGAAAGCGGGCGCGGATTACGATTTCTCACACCCAGGGAATTCCGGTGGTCATCGTCCCTTCGTGCCGCGTGGCGGAAGGATACCGCCGTACATTCGGCACGTCCGCTTTAATTAGCACGAGGCATGAGAGCCGTTAATAACTGATGAATACGCACGGCGCGCGCGCTAGCGACCGATGCCCGCGACGATACGGCGAATTATGCGTTATCATAACTGGCGCATGGAGCGCTCGCATATATTAGGGCTGTGCAATCGTCGTAACAGATGCGGGTTGCTGCCGCGCGACAGCGGCGGCGGCGGCGGCGGCGGCGGCGGGACGCTGCGGCTGCGGCTGCGGCTGCGGAGGAGGCGCCCGCGCGCGGTAAGCGCACGTGCGAGGAGGCTTTGTTATCGGACGGCGACGCTACCGGAGACCCTCATGAATATGAAACGCCCCGGGAAAGCGGGATGTGACGCGATGTGACGCAACGCTAGGCGAGGCGTGATGAGGCGGGGCGAGACGATACGGCGCTCGTACTTACCGTGCAGTATATGAAGAAGGCACCCAGGACAATCACGCGCAACAATACCGGGCTGGCCGCCCGTACCACCTGCAACAAATCATTTCGCTCGTTCATTCACGCGTCGCTGGCTTGTGAAACCCCGCGCCGGGGCTCACATGGGGCGGCAATGTGCCAGGGAGTCGAACCGCGCGGTAAATAAAATCACCGTCCCGGCGAGAGCAACGGGCGGAAGATCGCGGGCTCTCTTTCTCCTCTCGTATCTGAGGCCGACGAGTGTTGGCGGAAATCGCGCGCCTGTCAAAAACTGATTCCGAGATCTATACGATACTTTATGTAGCCGGAGATAGCGAAGTTTTAGTCTCCCGAGTCCGTAAACGTGAGATTCTTCCGAGTACGATACTTTTATCCTATCCTCCCGGAGCTCCAAAGTTTTTTCTCCCGCTCTTTGATACTTTGGTTGAACATTGTGAAAATAATGTTTCTGTGCGTACACGGATGAAATTTCGTTTTGTGTTTAATGATTTGGCGCGATCGTATTTTGTTACTACCGACGAAACTAATCATGCTTACATGTATTTTCAAACGCACCACGTGGCAGAACGTGGAATTTCTCGCAGTGCAATTCCACGTTATCTGTTATTTAACGAGTATCTCCCGCCAAATGCTTTATTTATATTATCAGCTGCTTCCACAACATTGCAATTCCCCAAGTTTATATTCAAAATATACACTTGTGTTGTTATACACTTGTGTACAGAGCCGGATATTTAGGCATGCTTGTTCACTTTAGCCGATTCTATTCAACAAAATCTCTTGCAGAGATTGCGAAGTGCGTAGTTCACGTCATTCTTTTTATTAGACACCTGCGTATTTGTTTAAAAGCCAGCTAGAGAGAAAACAATCCTGTTTACAAAGTTCTATTGAAAATATTTGTGAATAGAGAAATGTTAAATATTCTCTATTTCAAATAAAATATTCATCTTTTATTCAATTTTTTTATCGATATGCCATAAAATTAATCGAATACATATCGCTGTAAAAGAAAAAAGTTGCTGTAAAAGAAAAAAGACGGAAGACAAAAAGTGAAACAATTTGGAGAACAAAAAGTTAATACTCAAGTAATCTTTATCCTTGATATCTCTTAGATTTTCTTGTCGTTTAATCGTTTGGAGAAAAGCAAATATTACGACGATACAATCACGACTTCCGAGACTACCCTCAAATCTGCCCGTGAATTGCTAAAAAGGCAACTACATGCAACTTACATTGACATTTTTTGCGGTAGAAAGAACTAGCGTGGCATTATCAGCTTGGAATATTTTAACTTGGCTAACGTGCCGGCTGGCGATGAAAAAAAGCAAGTTAGTTTACCGGCGTCTTAAAATATGTACACGACACTTTTTTTACTAGCCATTAGCACACATGGCATGCCGGGGGCCAATAGAGAAAAGCGTCGTGTAAACTACGCTCTCTTGACTGATAAATTACAGTTCTATTAAAGTGATCCCATTTACGCGCAATCCCGCCGTTTACGATGATCTGTATATTTAAATTTTTCAATTGCTTACAACTCATAAATTATTCAGCCGTTACACATCGCGAGGAAAAGAAAAGTCGATATTAATGAAGACGGAACACTTTGCATAATACAATAAAGCAAGTAACGCGATGATATTTAATGAGCAGTCCGCGCAGACGGACATTTTAAGCGCGACACTCACCGCCGTATTATTACGATCGTCAACTGAAATTCTTAAAGCCGATAACGAGTTATAAATATGCCGCACCCAGTTTTCATCCATTTGCGCTTTCATACGATATTCAAGAAACGTGCTGAAATAGAGGAAAGGTCGCGGGCATCGCGATGGGGAAACGCCGCAAAATCCGCCGCAGCGCGAACGCCGGGGGAGAATAATCGCGAATAAAGTGAGTTAAAGTTCGTCCCCCGCAACAAAGCTAATTTCCCGTTCGCGTGTCTCGACTGTTTCATTCGCCCACCAGGACGGACTTATTTGTCGCTTCCGTTTCACCCCGTTTTGCACCGTGTTCCATCTTGTGTGTGGATGACAAAAAGAGGGGCAGACAGAGAAAGAAAAAGAAAGAGAGTGACAGAGAGAGAGAGAGAGAGAGAGAGAGAGAGAGAGAGAGAAGGAGAGAGAGAGGAGGTAGAAGAGACGTGAAAGGGAGAGAGATGGAAGGGTGAAAAGAAGTAACCGCTTTTAACCCTTCCGGGAGTTACGTAGACTATTAGTGCTACGAGCGGTAAAGTGCAGTTTCCTTTCTGGCAAAAGGCGATTTGCACGAATTACCGAAGCGGTAAGTTTAGGAAGGATGTATCTGCAGTTCGCGAACTTCTTCGGGAGACGAACGTACTCTAACGTAACGACCTCTGTAACGACGAAAAACGATCGCTTCGACCGCTTAGAGGCTTCGCCACTTTGGAGGAGTTACGCAACAACCGAAGACCCCTTCGGATTTATCGACCGCATGAGTTAAGATCGTCAAATCGTAAGTGACATGCCGATCCTCCCCTTTTTACACGATGTATCAATAAGTAATCGTCGAATCGTACTGCACTTGGAAACTGCAAATTCAAAGTGGCTCGAATTCAGAGGGCATGAGCAAACTTACCATGAAATTCTAAGGCTAATGGGAATGTTGGATACGACGGTCTGATTGAAATTCATACAATTTATGGGTATAAACTTGGGTATTATTATTGCATCAGTGCTCGAGTGTAAACTTGAGCGGGATATCGCGGAAGCAACTTGCAACACGAATTACCACAACGCGATCCGGATCGTCCGTTAAGGGGCGATTTGCTCGGGATTGATCTCGGAGAATAACATTTCAATTACGAGATCCTTAGATCCGCTCCCTCGCATCCGTCGCTCTTGAAAGGAGCACATTGTAATTAAAATATATCATTTTACCTCGACGATCGCGCTCGCAGAGTCGGAATTATTATTCTCGGCCGGTTCCCCTTCGATCCTCTCCTTTTTAATCGGGTAATCTCGAGTGGGAGAGAATAATATTTGCACTTCGCTTAAAAGGGCTTCGTGTTAGAGGGAGTTATGAATTCTACACGAGCTTGTTATAATACACACGAGTTCCATTATTCTGATATCAAGATAATCCGCGTTACATTCTCGGACGATTATTACGACTGTCGGGATGCACTAGCCGTACATATACATATACATATATATATATATATATATACACCATCTGCCACTTGATAAGACAGATTACGCCGCGATATTAAGCTTATAAATCGTAACTCGAATATGGATGCTCGCAGGACGACATCGAACGACCGAATTTGCTCGTACTAAGCTCGCCGTTTATCTTCCAACTTAGATTTATTAATGGAGGCCATTAGGGGAAAGAAGAAAACGATTACCCCCATCCGCCTTTGTCTCGTCATCTAACTCTAATTAAAACATACTCGATTCTAATTACGACCCATATGTAATTAAGTCAATTCTACTTTTCTTAATTAGTGGTAATTTCAATAAGGAAGTGACGATCTCAAATATCTTGCAATTCATTTCGATAAAATTGTCGATTGTCACAAATCTCCTCTAAAATCTCCTCTCGATTACTACTATTTTCCACTATTTTTATATAAAATAAATCTCCGAATCAATATATATAAACAGAAAAAAAAGAGGGATTTCACAAAAAGACGTAAATATAAAAACTTTATCTCAAAGAAAAATGATTGTGAAAACTCGAGGAATTAATAACGCATTTACACTTCCCTCCGAGTAATATTTTACGAAATCCTTTCTTCGGTCGTCGACGACATCGTCCGCGACATATATATATCAGACTTATTAAAAACTTACCGTTTGTCCGTCTGTGTGTTTCTTTTATTAATATGGAAACTTGTTGCTATATATATGATAATTTCCCGATCCACCTGATACCTCCTCCTTTATCCCGCATAAAATCGCTTTTTACGGGGAAACGTCACGCGTGATTTTAATGCACAGGATTCTCAGGATACGTCGCGTGTTTCAGGCCTGGTTCCCCCCGTCCGAGGGAGAATCAAGAGGCAGGCCGGCTGGCGAAATCCCCATTCTGCGCGCGCGACGACGACGACTCGACGCCACCAATTTCGGGATTACGGTGACAGTATACCACGGAAAATCTGGCCGTTTCTCTGCCCGCGAGACTCAACGGGGCGACGAGTCGTAAATTAACGTCGAAAAGGCGCCACAGTCTCCACGCCAGCGCATCTCCGCATCTCCTCCCTTCCTTCCCCCCCCCTCTCACTCCCCGTCCCACGGCTTCTTTGCTCGCCACTTTCAATTAAACCCGAGATATACGCGAGAACCGTTCACGTTGCTGTTTTTTTTTCTTTCTGCATTCGCGATGTCTCTGTAAAAGCGGGAACTTTTCATACCTCGCGGG